TCATTAGTAGGGTGCTTCTTATAACGCCTCTTAGCTTTATCTCTTTTGGCCATTACTGCTTTTATAGACTCTGAAAGCCAGGGAGCTGGAAAGTGTTTAACCCTGACTCGCTTAAGTGGTGCATGTGTATCGAATAGTTTTAAAATGAGGTGATTAAAAGCATAAACCTTATGATTAACATCTTCGGAATTTAGAACAGGAGACCAGTCAATATTATTTACATCATCTCTCAAACGCTCCAGGTTAATTGATTTAAAGCTTCTTAGGAATAAGAATTTCGATTTACGCCTAGGACGTTGAATTTTATAGGAGAGGAAGATAAGATCGTGGTAAGAGAAAGACGCAGATAGTTGTCCATGCGAAGCAACCCGGTCAGCATCAGAAACAAGAATAAGGTCTAAAAGAGAAGGGGTATTATTAGGCGAATTGTGAGTAGCAGAAAGAGGAAGAATATGTAAATTAAAAGATGACACCAGGGAGAGCAGTTTTTTGCTACGAAAATCATTCTTTAACAGGCATGTGTTAAAGTCACCTAAAATAATGGTATTATCATAAAGCGGAGTTAGATTAACAAGTTTTTCTTCCAAAGAAGAAAAATAATTTATATTGCGAGAGGGGGGATAATAGACCCCAAGCAAAGTCCTAGAATGATTAATAGTAATTTCAATAAATAAATGTTCAGCAAAATTTGTGTATATATTGGGTGAATGATCAACTATTTTATAAGGAATGTCAGCTCTCAAATAGATTGCCACTCCACCATAACCTTTGCCGACCCTGTCATTACGTATAAGTTGAAAACCAGGGAGACAATACTGTATCGACGGAAGTTCAGGCTTTAGAAAAGTTTCAGAAACAAGTATGGCATCAACATATTTAGAATCGAAGGTTGATAAAAGATCAGCGTAATGAGCATGAATGCTTTGAGCGTTAATATGGACTATATTAAGATTTTTACTATAATTACAGAATACGGCTACTAGTTGATCATGTAAATGAGTGGAATCATCGCTTAAGGCGCTTTTATAGGTCTTATCGGATGAACTAGAAGAAGAGCAAGAAAAATAACTATCATCAAATTCCAAAATATCACACATGCTAATCAAAACTATAACATAAACTAAGCTATAACAAAATCAATAAAAATTAAATATATACTTGTATAATGTAAAACAAATAAATATTATATAAGTCTGGATATAATACCTACAAAATAAATAATAATATATTATGAAATATTATGAAACTGTAAATATATTAAAATTAAAATAAAATTGCCAACAATTATGCACTTAACAAAACATTTCTTTCATACCTGCCGGCAGTGGCATCGGTAGAATTTTATATTTAGATAACTTACTATAATAAAAAAAAATATAGAAAAAGCACAGTCTTACCATAAATAATAAGACAGACAAATATTATCTACGGATCTTGTCTGGCAAAAAGACTAGTAGTATAAGCAATCGAATGACAGCATGACAGATATTAATAGCTGTCACTAAGATTTATTTAATCACTAATGTCATTGTGTCACATAGTAAACAAAATTATGAAGGTAAATTATAATAATATTAGAGATAACTACCAACTACGATGTTTCAGTTAACACACAAAATTGAAGAGATGCAACACTATGCAAATGGAGACTACACAAAAATACAAATAAATTGTGGTAAATAAACACTAAGTTAACGCGAAGACACTATCTCTTGCCTGCGGTGCCAGTACGTCGACTTTTGGAAGCTCCAGCTGGTTCCCTGACCGCGGTCGTTGTCTTCGACTTCGACACAGGAGGCTCAGCAATTTTATCGAGTTCGATCACAGAGCTAACGCGATGTCGAACACCACCGCTACCCAGTACAAAAACAAAGCCTTCACGTGTCCAGCAATTCGATATTCCATATCTCCGTCGAGCTGCCATAAAGGCTTCATGTCGAGTTTTAGTTAAAAACTCCGACAGAGTGATACCAGTGCCCTTCAAACACGTCTTAGCTTGCCAGATTTTGTTCTTCACCTCTAACTCACACAACTTAAACAAGATAGGTCTTGGTTTGTCAGAAGAAGAAGTATGGCCCATGCGATGGCAGCGAGATATATCTTTGTCCGAGAAACCAGACAACTTGAAACGGTCAGCAAAAGTCTTCACTAATACCTGTACAGTGTCCTCGTTCTTTTCCTCTGGAAGTCCATGAAGTAATAGAATCTTCCGCCGGCTCCGCATCTCCATATTATCCACCTGGTGCATCAACAGGCCTACCTGGTCTTGAAGATTGCGTAGGGCTGTCATGATAAATAATCTGAATGAGGAGAACTCGGATGTCAAATTGGCAATGGAGGCTGAAGGTGCTGCAGCTTGAAGCTCACTTTGATAGATATCCATGCGCTGAGTAAACATCTTCTGGAGTTGTGTTATTGAGTCTTGAATGGCATCCATTTTGAAAATATCTTGTGCAGTGATAATGTAAGAAAATTGTGAGACAGATTTTTATTGACTAAGTTTGTAAAAAGCAAGGATTTTACTGCCTGGCAGGTATAATGGTTAGTACATTAGTTTCCCATATAGTAACAACACTATTGTAATGGTTTATATATTAAAAATTATATTTCCATTTAGTTTTATGATGTAAATATACTTTTTATATAAACAAATAAAATAGGTACTTTGTGAATTGAATAGGAAGTGTTCAATAAAAATGCGTGTCGTTTTTTTGATTGGTGGATTTAATTAAAAAACCATGTTTATGTTTGAATAACAAATCGGTTAAATAAATTTGCGACCGAAAAATATTTGCACCTCGGCTGAGACTTACGAAATGCTTTATTATTAGATTTTTAAATATAAAAAATCCGCTTTATAATATAAAGCTAAAAATAATATAAATTAAAAATTGTTTTGGGAAACATGGACAACGTGGTGAAAAGGAATATCTTTTAATTGGTTATAGATGCAGCTACTTTACAATTTATATGTTTGTTTTTAAATGAAGTTCAGATTTATTATTTCTTTATTTCTATTCTATTATTTATTTCCTCCATTTTTTATATATTTGACAAAATCATGACTGCGGCACAGTCTCGACTGTCTGCATGCCGAGCGCATGCCGAGATCGAGGCGCGTAGGCATAGCTCTCGCTTCGTCCGTTTGTATGAAGTTGGAATACTGTATAGATAATATTACCGAGCTCCCGGTAAGATCTCTCTCTCACTGCGACCAAGACACCATAAGCCATCAGGACCCCTGTGTAGTCTTGTGAGTCTATTTGACTGACAGGGAGAGAACTCAGTCACCTAACTAAAAATACTAAAAAATAAACATGGACCTCCGAAAATAAATTAAATAAAAAAATCTAGCAATAAATTGGGTAAATGAAAACGAAAGTGACTTAAACTAAAAGCTAAACATTTTGTTCATTCGATCCTCCTTCTAAATTAAAAAATCGCTTTAGAATTTAACTTTAAAATTAATTAGATTCATTAAATTTTCCGCTAGGAGTAGGTTAGGGAACGTTAAATAAATTCTAATCTTTAAAATGAGCAGTATTCGGGTATTGGGCAGTATTTAGTATTTACCCCAATCTGTAAGTATTTAATGTGTTTTGTATTTTCACCTCGGCGGCGGATCGGACACGGGCGTCCCACAAGCGGGCCTCACCAGTGTTTTGAGAAGATGCATATGTCATAGGTAGATGAAGATATAAGAGATGGGATATATTCGTTCATTAGAATTGTAGGGAATTTCAGGGATTAGTAGGAACTTAAAGAAAGGAGACGCAAGACAACCATGGACATTTCAACTGTGACCGAACTTATCAAGAGCTAGGAAACTGATGGGGCTGCATTACAAAGATTCTTACTAACATTAAAATGGATTTACCAACCAGGAAGACGCTAAAATATATTGACGTAAAATGGGGCGCTACGAGTTACGCCGTCACCGCCTTTTAATCAAATAGACGTCGACTGTGCAAAATTGATGGGACCACAATGGTCGTGACCCTCGAGAAATAGAATCAGACGAAGGAAATAAAAGGTCAATTTACTCCTTAATTCCGCTGTCGATTAACGAAAATTTAGAAATGCAAATACAATTATAACACCTGTTTGTTGTACTACGGCAATTATTATTGACTACACAAAAAAAATAAAAAAGAAGCAGGATCAGATCAGGAGTCACAAACAAGTTGTATATAAGAAAAATTGTACAAAAATCGTTATTATAATATCAAAGAATACATAAATGAAAATAACCCCTGGAAATGAGGTGATCGCCACACCATGTTGGTTCTATTAAAATTTATTAAAAATTGTACCTACAAACAAAATCATTGTAAAGTGAAAAAAATTTTCCCCTTCCCAAGTCCCCCTGGGTTTCTCGCTGGTTGTTCCCAGGACCGAGGTATTTTCCGAACCAGTGGTAGATAAAAAATGACTTAATAAGTATCATGTAATAATCAATATTGAATAAAAATCATTAATTTCATTTCATTTCAAAATAAAATCCTCTTTGAAAACTGGACGTCGTTTTCGTTACTACCGCCAATACTCCCGGTAAGATCTCTGTCTCACTGCGGCCAAGACACCATTAGCCGTCAGAACCTCTGTTCAATCTTGTGAGTCTGCTCAATCGGCAGTGAGAGAACCTAATCACCTTAATCTTGACATCTTGTCTCTGTCCATCCAATAACTTAGGTCTCATGGTGCAGACATGCCGCACTTATCTAATTTATATATGTATATTAATATGGTAGGGCTAGGGTATTAGGGACTGCTAAGACTGCTAGGTATAGGGAGCTTAGTTTGGGTCTGTAGTGTCTAATACTCCTTTCTACCATATCCTCTTCAGTCATGTAGTCGAGCTATCGAAGGTAAATTGGCAAGCTTAGCCACGCTTGCCAAGCGGGTTGGCAACCGCAGTTTTTTATTTTTATGCGTTATTTAGGAGACGCTGCTGTTCATCTCCTGGTCTGTTTCCTTCTGTCGGTAATAGATATTCTTACACCGCCACTGCACGGTAAGTGTTCATACACAAATTTAATAAAGAAGAAACTCGCCTTAAGTTCTGCGATGGCTTTTATAGCGGCGAGGACAACAGCGGCTCCCGCCATGCTTCCGCGGTTCTCCCGCATGTGGTCCGGATGCTTCAGGCACAACCCACCGCTGCAAATAACACACATTATCATTTACATTAATTAATATAAAATGTTTACGACAAATCATCCTCTCTATGAATGATGCCCATCTCCAGATGTATTTCCTCGTCATCATACTCAAAAATCACTAAATAGTTTGTTTAGGGATTTTTGAGTATGACGAGAAAATACATAAAAATTGTTTATTTTATACGCATTTTTACATTTAGTCACGTGTCGTAAGAGACGAATATGGATAAAGCTAAAAAGTTAGATGGTTGTGTGACACAACGCGCTATTCGTAAAATACAAAGACCAGCCATATCCAGCCAGCATCGTCGAAGATGCTGCCTGTCTTTGATCTTTGGAGAGAAACCACCTGCCAATTGTGACGGATAAGGCGGGTCCTCTCTGCAGCGGGATTGTAATTAGGTGTTATGTTATCTTCTAGAATATGAAGTGTTACATTATGTTAGAGAAGCTAGACACTACACTGTTCTATGAAAGTGACCCATCTTGCGGTAAGCAAGACTAACGTGTAGTTCTACGCAGTGCTATTATGAGCCAGCTCGAGTAGCACTGATGCATAGACTACAGGTTAGCAAGTGTTACCGGTAGAGGCATCATCATCAGAATAAATAGACTTTGCAATGGCTAACCGCTACAGTATTATCGACGGTGTTGTGTCTTTCCTTGTGTAGTTGTGTTGGTATTAATGGTAACGATAGTGCACACAATTGAAGGGGGACGGGAGTTGCTCATAAGTTACGTAAGTTACATTATTTTTATTTTCTTAATGCATATCTTAGCTAGTAAGTTTCAACATCCTTTACGTAATAGATTTCCGCAAAGAAACGCCTGATTATATTAATTACCGTTCAATAGCTTACTCTAATATAGTAGCGCATGTTACCAGTCAAAAGTGACCCCTTTGGCAGCTAGCAGTATTGGCGGGAGGTCCTGCGAGGAGCCGGTGTAGGCCAGCTCCAAAAACACTGGCGGTTCACAGGAGCCGCGTGCGACCGTCAGGAAGGCTTCCATGCGCTGCGCCTCCATCCAGTGGCGCTCGCGAGCCCACACCTGCACGCCCAGCGGGCATAGCACGTCCAACGCCGCCTACAATACACGATACTTATCGCATTTTTTATAGAATAAGGATGACAAACGAGCATACAGTCACCTGATGGTAAGTGGACACTGCGGCCAATAGAATATAGACATCTACAATTATTCTTAATTAAGAATCAAAATGCAGACGCGTTGATCCCTGAGGACTAAGATAGAATGGTTCTCTACACTCACTGAAACACAGCTGCATTAAGCTGCTATTGTACGCTGGTTTTCTGTGAGAGGTGGTGTAATCGCGGCCGAGCCGAACCATTCTTGCTACAACTAAAATATACTATGTTGATAACTTTAGTTCTAGCAGCTGGTAGTTGACTTATTTATTGTTTATGGTTTCACACAAACCTTACCTTCAGCTGAAATTAGATTTTTACAGACAGATTTGTGCCCATGCAAGTAATGTATTAGTTAAACTATCACTAAACTAGCGATCCGACCTGGATTTGCACGGGTGAAGTACCGTATCCACTACCCACATCATCCCTTGTGTGTCGTAAGAGGTGACAGAGGAAATGAAACATGAAATGGCGACAGCATCTTTCTGTTATCACCTCAAAAAATTAAAAAAAAAACACCGTTTGAATAAAACAATTTTTAAGAATTTTAACATGTTAAATTTTTACTTATTTTTAATTCCCCACGTTTCAGGTGCTTTACAGCACCCATGGTCACGAAAGACAAGGAAGTTCTAATTTATTACGTGTCTGATAGTAAATGACAATATTGTGAGAAAAACTTTATGTAGTTTTTTTCTGATTTCTCGTAGTAGAACCAAGCTGGAGCTATATAATAATTGCAGCATAAATAGGTAGGCTCGACTGGGGAAGAACCACGCTCTCACATGAGCGTGGTTTCTTAAGGTGAGTGCGAAGAACTGGAGAATGTTTTAACTAGTAATGAAGCCTTCTTCATCTTAATTCTTAGGAATGACAACGCATCTACATTTGATTTTTAATGGATAATAAGTGAAGGTGATTGTGGGTCAGTATCAACTTACTATCAGGTAGACTGTGTGCTCGTTTATCACACTCATTCCATAAAATAATAAATAACTGATTGAACTGCATGTTTGTAAAATCAAAAATATTCCTAGGACATACGAAGTCCACCAATGCATCAATACTACCTATCACTACCTCTTGGCTTAAGTAAGTTTACGTTCTATTACAATAGACAGGTCTCTTTACATAGCAGGCAGGTATAGCACTAAAGAGTATACTACGCGGCTCAATAAAGTGTATTTTATAACAAAATGCTAGAAAAAACCTCATGGCCTCTGATTAATGTCAGAATAAAAGTTCAGATTCAGATTTAAATACATACAAAAGCATGAGGGTTTTCCTTTTTAGCATAAGATTGAAAAATCGGCTAAGTGCGAGTCAGCCACGCGCATGAAGGCTTCAGTACCATCGTAAAAACACTTTGCTAGTAGGGTAGCCCCTGAAATTTTTAATTTATTTTTATTTTTAGTATTTGTTGTTTTAGCGGCAACATTATACACATTCTGTAAAAAATTCAATATTACGGACCATGAGCTACAGCTTGCTAACACACAGACGGACGGACAGACAGCGGAGGCTTAGTAATAGGATCCCGTTGGTTACCATTTGGGTACGGAACCCTAAAAATGAATACACAGTAAGTACTTAATGGTAAGTGGATGTTGTGGCTCATAGTCATCTATATCCATCCTCGATCAAGAATAAAAATGTAGATGTCGCTGAACACTGAGATGTTGCTGAACACTAAGATGGAATGCCTCGTTTCCACTAAAAGTTTATTTAATACTCTACACTCATCATACGAAATACAGTAGCATTAAGCTGCTATTTTAGGATGTTGTTCTGTGAGAGCGTGATCCTTCCATTGTGGAACGAACTCATTCGTACCACAACCATAATATGGCTGAAGCGTGGCTACGTATAAGGTCCGATACGCCTGGTACTTCGATCGACAATTCACCTGCTGAGTGTGTCGCTTGTGGCAAGCTCTCCCTACTATGGACGAGTCCACCGAACTGTTGTTACAAGCTAATGATATAGAACAAGATATTTAGAAGTAATTTTTATCTTAAACGGAATGTGGTAGTAGTAGTAGTTGACCGTTAGTTTGTACACAGCGAAGGCCTTTGATCGGGTTTGCCACAAAGCGTTTTTATCAAAGCTTCCTTACTATGGGCTTCCCAAGAAATTGTACAATTGGATCACTAGTTTTTTTGCTGATCGGAGCATCAGGGTCGTAGTAGACGGTACATGCTCCGATTACAAGCCCATCAACGCTGGTGTTCCAAAAGGCTGCGTACCATCACCAATACTGTTTCTTCTGCATATCAATGATATGTTTCAAACAGGTAACATACATTGCTATGAGGACGACATCACTGGTGGGGCTTTATACACCGGCCATGTCAATATTTCTCAGAAAAACGTCACCGAGTACAAACTTGTGTCTGAAGTCGAGACTTTGTTGAACAGATTATCGGTCTGGGGGCGACTAAATCTAGTCTAGTTCAAACCCCAGAAGGCAAAAGTATGCGCGTTTACTGCTTAAAAGAACCCGTTTGTCGTATTTCCTAGTTTCAAGGCACTCCCCTCGTTGCCTCAGCCAGTATCAGGATCCTCGGCGTAGACATATGGAGTGTAGTGCAGTTTCATAGTCACTTGGTAGAGAAGAAAAAAATTAGCCTTTAAAAAGCTTGGCGTGCTCAGCGGCGTGGGACAGTATTTCATGACGGCACATAACCTGGAACTTCAAAAGGTGCAGGTACGGTCGCACATCGAATACTGCTCCCATATACGGGCTGGGGCTCCCCAATATCAGCTTCCATTTGATTATATCCACCGAAGAACAGTTCGAATCGTCGGTGACCAAGCTCTTTCTGATCGGCTTGACTCACTGGCACTGCGAAGAGATGTTGCATCTTTTTGTGTATTTTATTGCATCTACCACGGGAAATACTCTGAGGAATTGTTGGGAATAGTTCCAGCCGCTCAATTTCACCATCGCACATCGCGACAAAAGTCGCGATACCATCCATACCATCTGGATGATTGGCGGTCCACTACTGTGCGATTTAGAAGAAGATTTCTTCCTCGCACAACTTTATTATGGAATCGACAAAGATTTTTTCGGACCGATACGACTTAGGTACCTTAAAGAAAAGAGTCTACGGTATTTTAAAAGGCCAGCAACGCATCTGTAATTCACCTGGTATTGCAGTTGTTCATAGACGACGGTAATCACTTCCCATCAGGTGAGCCGCATGCTCGTTTGCTCCCTCTCCTATAAAAAAAGAGTATGTGTGGTCAAACAACATGTTGAAATTCGATCTCTAGATCTATTCTCTCTACAGACAAAATCATTCACCAACCTGCGCGACATCGACAGGAGTCATCTTGTTGGCCGGCATGTCGGACAAGTAGCGGGCCCAGTTCTGCGCGCAACCCATTATTGCACCTTTGGTCCACAGCTGAGCACTGGGTTCGGATGCCATCTCAGCCGATTGCTGACTATCTGATGGGCTGGCTTCGTACTTTTGGACATTATACATTGACACACTTGGCGCAGTTTGTAGGCATGAACTCATTTTAAACTCTTGAAATCTGAAAAAAAGGTTCTCTGGAAGTTGGGAGTCTCAAAGCGAAGTCTGTAATTTGATCATTTGTCTATATAATCGTTTCTTCATAGGATAGTGGTGACAAACGAGCACACAGTCCACCTGGTAGTAAGTGGATTCTCTAATCTATGGACGTCTATATCTATCCTTTATTAAGAATTAAAGTGCAGGCTGTCACGCCTGAGAACTAAGATAAAATGTTGCGTAGTAGTTATTAGATCAGGTGATAGACATAAATTGGATAACAATGTTCACAGTGAGAGTATCTGTATAATTTATAATAATAAAAACGTAAAGCGAGCAATTTTATGTAAGAAACCAAACTGAAATTGAAATCTAAATGAGTGAGGTAAACTGGTTTTAGATGACAAACAAGGTAACTGTTTACTTTAATGGCTGCAGTTATTTTACTACAGCCGCGAAGACCACCTGCAACATCAAATAAGCAATACTGTAACGACGTTGTCCTATCTCGGAACTAATTTAGAATACCTCACTCACACCTTGTTCCTGCTTTGAACACCTATCAGACCAGAACACGGTTGTGAAATACGCTGCTGTTTAGCAAAATAGGTAAGAAGGTGGTTGGCCCAGACTACGAACACCGAGACGAAAATTATCCATCTGGCAAAATTGTAGGCTTATCAGAAAAAGATGATATGATACCAATATTTTGTTATTGAAATGAAAACTTCTTTAGCGGCGTTGTACACTTTTTTGTAATGGGCAAAAATGTTAAATTTGCGTCAGGACACGTGACCCTGATCGAAAATGCGTAAGGCAAATGGAAAGAGTGAGAGACAGCCGGCGCGGCGTAGGAGAGGAAGTATCCCCCTCTCTTTCTACGGCGCGGCGAAAATGTATGCCTGCACCTGCTGTAGGCGGCGCAGGGCGCTTGCGCGAATGTACCTAATATAAATTGTCATGTTTGTGTACGATGGCGCAATAAATAAATATTGTATTCTACCACATAAATGATAGTTACTTTTATACTGATAATTAAATAAATTCGTGCAAAATTATTCTCTAACCATTCCAAAATATCAAAAGTGCACAACGTTAATATTCAAGTTTTCACTTCTGCTGGCACTCCTGGAGTGCAACCCATCGTTTTTTTTATTAAAGAACATGCTTTAAGTTGACTGTTTTTTTATAGAGTAAGGTAACAATAACAAACGAGCACACAATCCAAACGATGGTAAGTGGATGCTGTGGCCTATAGACATCTACATGTATCGTCAATTAAGAATCAAAATGCAGATGCGTTGTCACCCCTGTGGACTAAGATAGAATGGCTCGTTTAAAGTAAAAAGGGTCTCCGGTTTTTTACATTCAGCATACGAAACACAGAAGTATTAAGCTGCAATTTTACGCTGGTATTCTATGAATCTTCTCAATCATCATCATCCCGTAGATTTCCACTGGGCGTAATCTTCAAACGTTGCCTTAATCGTTTGCTTGGCGGACGGATTGTCAATCACAATACTAAACGTCCCGCAGCTTTAACACAGGTGATCGTTGCTGCCCTAGGTAGGTATTTTACGTTTAACGGAAACGAGATCGTTATACCGCTATCTAAAGCGCTTATTACACTATACAATTTTTAGGAAATCTAATTAGGAACCTAAATTGGAAGCTAGTGATCACACTACACTAAATTGAATTCTAAATCGTGACGAACCGCATTCGTAAAGAAGTATCAACGGGGTTGCACGTTTGATCGATGGCGCCGTATTTATCAAAACAGCAGAAAATAGAACTTGCCTTATTCATGGTGGGAACAATGGATATTAAAAAGAGAAAAGAGTACTTGTCAATGAGAAAAAACTGTCCAATATGAATATAATTATATATTTTTAGATTCTAAGCAGTTTTTTATAGGATAGGGTGACAAACGAGCACACAGTCCACCTGATGATAAGTGGTTGCTGCGGCCCATGGACATCTACATCTATCTCCGATTACAAATCAAAATGCAACATTAAGCTACTATTTTACGCTGGTATTCTGTGGGAGCGTGGTCCTTCTCTGGTCGAGCCGACCCATTCGTGCTACAACAGTACTACTAATATAACTGCAGCATGGCTCTACCACCTATAAAACAGTTTGAATATTTGTTAAGTTTGGTATCCAAACATATTGAAAAAGAAGTCACGATATTTCGATAAAGTGTGAGTACCATAGAATGTTGACATTACGTTTTATAGCCACCGGAAATTAATATTAAGATTTAAAGTACTGCTCTCTGATATCACTTCTATCAAAACTTCAAGACATCCGCTTGTATCAAAGCGCGGGCGCCGATTTGTTATCGTAACGTTGCGATTACACTGTCCTAAATTGTAAACAATTTAGGAAGTAGAGCGATTGGAACCTCCAATTTGACTAAATCGGATCCTAACTGTTCTAACTACGATTACACCTTCCTATTTCCTAATTAGATTTCCTAAAAATTGTATAATGTAATAAGCGCTTAAGGGATCCTCTTACGGCACCCCACCTACTACTATACGAAATCCGGTGTTGGATTACTATGTCTATGCTCATTCGTGGCTTAAGTACGGATTATGTTGTGGGGAAGTAGCGTCGATATGCAGCAGCTATTTATTACTCAGAAGAAGTGCGTTAGTATACTAGCCCAGATAGATATCACTACTAGCTGTAGACCGTATTTCAAAAAACTAAATACATTTACCTTTCCCTGTATGTACATTTATGATCTATGTCTCTATATCCATAAAAACAACAATATTTTCAAGAAGATTAAAGATACACATCAATACATGTGTGTATGTACACATAAATATATCATGTACCTTACAAAAATAAATTATACCTACCACAGGCGCGAACAAAAATGTTAAATACAAGCCCCTACTATATGGAATTTTTTTAAATTAAATTACCCCAAGAAATAAAAAAACAGCAGAATTAACCCTATATCAAGCAAGCCTCAGTTAATATTTAAAACAAAATCCACTAAGTGGAGGAGTATTTGGATAACAAAAACCAACACTATTATGTATTTTTAAATTTATCTAGCTCTTTTCAAATTCGCAGTGCCTGAAAAGGGCGTCTAAGTTGTAAACACATTTTTAATTTAAAACCAATTACGTAAACTTGGATTGCAAATAAATGATTTGATTTGATTATCCTACCACCACGACTTTCATATGTCTATATTTTTTTATTTAATGAAATCAAATAAATGAATTTTATTCAATACAGAATAATGCATAATACTTATTGAAAGTAATTTTTAATTTACCACTGGTTCGGGAAGAAACCTTTGCCCTGGGAAAATAAAACTATTAACTGCATCATTTACTATGAAAAGGATATCATCATCTGAGACCCTCTTATCAAATTCTTCTTCGAACAGAGAACGTTCTCTTTGCGTAACGGTACAAGATAAAGAAAGATATTTGAAAAACGACATTTTAAATTCAAACACGTTAAAAATAACGGGGAGCTCATTAAATTTTTTTACAATTTTAGACAGAAGATGAAAAGTGCTTTTCAAACTAGGTAAGGCACATAATTTATTTAATTCAGATCTTAGCTAATAAACTATAAAGATGTTCTTTAATAAAGTAACGCTTGCTTATAGTAAAAGTAATAATAATAATGTTCTCCAGACCGAATTTCGGGCGCGGCTGCCAGTCTCAACGGAGGCTGGTCATCTGCGCAGGAGAGGAGTACAGTGCCCAAGTGTACTCTCTATTCCTTCACTCTCATAGTCCGGTGGGACGACCAACCGACATGAGTTAAGTTGTTGGTTTTGCTCCGGAGAAAGATCAGGAGCAAAACCAACAACTTAACGTGCTTTCTGGGGCGCGGGGGTGAAGCGCTGCCAATTTCCTGACTCGGGGCTGCTACTGAGGATTCCTTGATAGAAAAACCGACGAAAGGCGATCATATAATCAACAGTCGCGTTTACGATCACTAGACAAGCGAGACATTCTAGTGAAGGTATAAAGGCCACGAGCATATCAAGTCAGATTGTAGGGTAAGTTACCTCCAGGCGGCCAGCTCAGCGGCCTCGGCAGCAGCATCAGGTGCAGCAGATGGGTCTACGAGAAGCTGCGAGCATCCGCGCCGTCGCAGCTCTGACACGCCGGCACCCACGCCCCAGCGGACGTTCTCCTACGCACATACACGTCTTATACTGCGGCGTGCTGCACACGTATACGTGTACACGTATGATCCTGCAACACGCTATCCTATGACCTTATGTACCTACCCAACGTGAATAGGCCAACTTAACAGAACAATTACCACGCTTTTACAGGGTACCAGCGTAAAATAGCAGCATATCGTTTGTTATCCTTGAACCATTCATTTATAAAATAAAATTTTTATACGTGCTAGAGTCACGCTACAGCTCTATATTATGGTTGTAGTACCGGGTAAGGACCACGCTCTCACAGAATAAACAAGAATAATGCTGTATTACGTATAGTGAGTGAAGAAAAGCGGAAACCCTTTTTACTGAAAACGAGGCATTCCATCTTAGTCCTCAGGGATGACGACGCATCTGCATTTTGATTCTTAATCGAGGGTAGATGTAGGTGTCTATAGGCCACAGTATACAATTACCATCAGGTGGACAGTGTTCTCGCTGGCCACCCTTATTCTGTACAAAAAATCTTTTGAGGTTTTTTTTGAATATGAGCAAATTAATTTTTAACAATTTTAATAAGTCCAATTATTTAATACACAAATTTAAAAAAACAATGTTTTATGTCATCTAAAAAAGTTTAATTTTCAGGTACGGTATATACAGGCTATGTTGTGTCCCATCTTAGTTGAGGTGACAACGCATCTGAAGCATTTATTGCTTGAAGTTCACTGCAGGTGTCCGTGGACTACAACAAACACTTACGTGGCCGCAGAAATATGCAAGATGGTGGTACACTCCCAAACGAACTAGCCATAAACGGAGTCTTCTTATCCAATAATAATAAAAGCACTAACTCGATCCTCTTCGAGCTCCTCCAGTTTATTATAACCGGCATCTTTGCGCCCGAACGACGCTAGCGCCACGTCACCGAGCTGTGGGTCTACGTCGGTGACCACAAACGCTTTGCCCAGCTTCAGTTGGCAGGACAGACTGTAACAGAGGCATCATTTAATAAATAGTTTTTAATTTTGTGTGAGCTACTTTGCTGTGTGATGCCATCGTAAAAAATCCATCCCATTAGGTTAAGGTTAACAAAATAAGGATAACAAGCGACCACACACACTTGATGATAAGTGAACGCCGTGGCCCATCTACATCTATACCGAATTAAAAATCAAAATTAAGACGCGTTGTCACCCCTAAGGAGATGGAACGGCTGGCCTCCAGTAAAAAAGGTCTCCGGTTCTCTTCACTCACCATACGAAACACACTAGCATTGAACTGCTATTTTACGCTGGTATTCTGTGAGAACGTGGTCCCACCCCGGTCGAGTCGACCTATCCGTGCTACAAGCATAATGTAGCTGCTGCGTGGCTCTACTACATATAAATGAAATGAAAGGAGTTTCGTAAAGGCGGCTATGGGATATTCCAAAAGGATCTTACAGCTTCCGATTTATGGTGAAATAACCATATCGTTTACGTGAAGCGAAAAATACACAAACCAACAACTGGAAGTAGTGTGAAAGGTACGAGACGTTTGGTACTGCTGCCGAGCGTGAAAATTATGACGAATTCTCTGTACAGTTAGAGAGGTCTTCATACGCAATGTCGAAACAGTAAGACACACAGTCGTGTAGTGGCGGTGTAGGAATATCCACTGCCCCACATCATCCCGCGCGTGTCGTAAGAGGCGACAGAGGGGAACAAATCAGGAGATGTGATGGGATATTTTTTATAGGATAAGGATGACAAACGAGCGCAAAGTCCACCTGATGGTAAGTGGTTGCTGTAGCCTATAGACATCTACATCTATCCTGGATTACGCATATGAAGAATGCAGATACATTGTCACCAGTGAGTACTAAGATGGAATGCCTCCTTTGCAGTTAGAAGGGTCCCCGGTTCTCTAAGCTCAACACACGAAACAAAGCGGCGTTAAGCTGGCATTCTGTGAGAGCATGGTCCATCCCCGGTTGAGCCGACCCAATCTTGCTACAACTATACTACTAATATGGCTGCAGCATGGCTCTACCACGTAAAGAAGCATCTTCCTAATAACGACTAAAAATAAAAAACACTATTGCCATCCCGCTTGCCTAGCATGGCAGCTATGGCAAATATGGGGATATTATCTCCCTATTTCAGCTAACTGCTGCTGTACCTAAATGACAGCAGCGCTAATTTTCAACTGCGGACTGACAAATATAGAATAAGCAGCCTATAAATAGAAATAGAAACTTTTTTATTAATTTTAAATTATAAACAATGCATCGGCTCAATCAGAATAGGACCACACGCTTACAGAATACCAGCAGAATAATGTTGTATTACGTATGGTGAGTGTAGTAAAGCGGAAACACTTTTTACTGAAAACGAAGGCATTCCATCTTAGTCCTCAGGGGTGACAACGCATCTGATTCTTTGATTCTTAATTGAGGATAGATGTAGATGTCTATAGGCCACAATGTACTCATATCATCAGGTCGACTTTTGAGGTTTATTTGAAGTGGGCTAATTGTATTTTATAAGGTCTGAATCACTCACTCGTTCAGGTACCGCGACAACTTGCCACCACTACGCTGGTTGACCTCCTCAGCGGCCGGTGTCAGCTCCAACTCTTTGTCATTTTCGTAGACACCCAATACTACACCTTTCTACAACAAAATAAAATAAAGAATTAAATTTTAATATATACATAACATAAAATAAACATAAAATAAGTGCGGAAGTCAAATTGGATGGCGTAGCCTTACCTAGAGTAAATAAATTTAAATACCTCGGATCAATAATCGCGGAAGATGGATCGATAACAGCAGACATAACGCACAGAACGATGTCTGAGTGGAATAAGTGGCGTACATTAACGGGAGTCCTCTGCGATCCAAAAATGCCGATAAGAACCAAAGGCAAGGTCTATAAAACAGCTGTGAGGCCTGTTTTACTCTATGATAGCGAAATCTGGGCTTCGACAAAAATCCATGAGCGAAAACTTCATGCCACTGAAATGCGCATGTTACGTTGGGCGGGTGGAGTCACTCTCAAAGACAAAGTGCGTAACGAACACGTAAGGGGGAGTTTCAAAGTAACGCCTATCACTGATAAGATTACAGAGTCCAGGCTAAGGTGGTACGGACATGTTATGCGTAGACCCGATGACCACGTCGTGAAAAAGTGCCTTTCCATGGCTACAAAAAGGAGAGGGAGAGGTAGACCGCAAACTACCTGGTTGACAAATGTCCGGAAGGACATGCTAAAGCTCGGCCTTACAGAAGATGATGCTTACCAGCGAATTTAATGGCGCCGAAGGATTAAGAAAGCCGACCCCGCGTAACGGGAAGAGGCGAGGGCAAAGAAGAAGATACATAAACATAAACACTCACGCCTGTCACCTGGACGGTAGGCAGAAACTATGGACTTCCATTTGCCATGATACTGATAAACCTCTCGCCTCCTTTATATGCATATACCTACGCACATGGTCATCGGTTAAGGATACTCTTAATGTGGCCCATATACAATAAATCGCCAATATGGACGATAAACTTTCCTAGGGCGTACCTTCCCTCTGTTGTTCACTTCTGCAACAGATATTTGCTTTGACTCTTTTTCTTCTTTTATTTTTTCTACATGACCAATTTTTCTTAGTTCATCATCATCATCATCATTACAGCCCTTCACAAGTCCACAGCTGAACATAGGCCTCCCCCAAGGTATGCCACAAAGCACGGTCCTGAGCCACCTGCATCCATCGACTTCCTGCATGTCTTACCAGGTCGTCACGTCCATCTAGTGGGGGGTCGCCCTACACCTCGCCTACCGGTATGAGGCTGCCACTCGAGAACCTTTTTTCCCCAACGGTTGTCGGTTCTTCGAGCTATATGGCCGGCCCATTGCCACTTCAGCTTACTAATCCGTTGGGCTATGTCGGTCACTCTGGTTCTACTGCGTAGCATAGAGCCCTCTCCATGGCTCGCTGAGCGAGCGTCCTCATACAGCCAGCAGTGAAGGACCACGTCTCGGTTCCGTGGGTCATCACTGGCAACACGCACTGGTTGTACAACTTAGTTTTCAGTGAAAAAAGGCACGTATGGCAATACGTGCCTTTTTACAGATTCTTCTCACAAGAGAGTGTAAAGCCCCATTATACTATCTACTTATATCACTTTTTAGCAGCCACATTTCACGCGCGCATATCGCGACAAAACTTACGATACCATCCACACTATCTGGATGCTTGGCGGTCAACCATTGTGAGTTTTACAAGGAGTTTTCTTTCTCGTACGACCTTTTTCCTTTCTAAATGGTTGGCAACACACCTACAATTCTCTTGGCGTAGCAATTGTTAAGTTGGCGGTAGTCACTTACCATGACGTAAGTCGCTCGTTTGCCAATTCTCCTATATAAATTAAAAAAACTCTCTGATTATTATACCCAGGGCGTTCCTTCCCGACTCTGCTGATCACTTCTGCAACATAGATTTGCTTTGTCACTCTTTCTTCGTTCATTCTTTCTACATGTCCAAACCACCGAAGTGTTGGTTTCTTAATCTTAGCTACAACGTCATCTTGCAAACCACACTTTCCTTTTATCACACAATTAATGACCGAATTTCCAGAGCATTTTAATATTTACCACGAAGTTATCCGATATTCTTCTATCATTCTTATCCGTTCTTTCTTGCCTTTTCTTTACAACTACTTCTTTTACTCTCTTACTTCGTCTAAAGACTGCCTTTAAATGTAATTTCTGGCTTTAACTTTCAAATTAGGTTTTAAAATTAAACTTTCTGTCTTTTTCTTGGTAAATGCCGACTTCGAAGAACTGAAACTACCCGCCCGCGACCCACAACTGTCACACAGTTTTGGTTCTGAGTTACCGGTCTCATATTATACATAGAAGTCTGACAAAAATTGGCAACGACATACAACATATAATAAATAGTATTATGAGATTTAGTCGTTACTCGGAGGGTCGGTGAGCATCTACCGTAGCTCTACATCATTCGATTAGAACCTTACGGGGCTTCCGGAGGCTTTCCGTAACGTTTGGAGTCGGAGCGTAGGTGGCTGCGTTTACCACTAGCGGGTTAGGATGTGTCTCGGCCATCTTAAAGCAGCGTCGAAACATTTCCTTGAAATATTGAGATCGTCGGAAGTTGACAATCTCTGTGCAAGTCAGATTTTGCTGGTACCACCGAGCTCCTGTGGCTATGCGAATGAATACATGATGAATAATAAAGGACAAAAAATAACTAAACATTAAATACCTTATCGCCATCAGGAATTTTGTCTTCTTTGTTCATTTCAGTTGTGTTGCTACCGCATCCGTTTGGTTGGTTCTGGTCTGAAGCGTTATTTAGATATCTTACCGTTTTGTTACATAAGCCCACACCCCTACGGAAAATTACAGCACTGCGAAATAATTTAGAAAATCTCATTATGAAAAAAATCGAATAAACTTTAAACGCACAAACACAAAATAAATCATCAAAACTTGTCTCAATATAACTCAACCAACTAGATTTAATTCAAAAGTTATATTTATATTTAATTCTAAGAAACTTTTATCCTATGGATATGCCAGTTCCATCATAGCTTTATCTATATATAATTAAAGTATCTGTCTGTAGTATCGAAATAACTGCCTTTTAATGAGTTGAGATCATTTGTCTCTTTATCTACGTACGGCTTAATTTTCGCAATGGCGGAACCGATTCAAGAAGTGATCTTTACTATATTTTTTCCGAAAAACTGTGATTTTTTTAATCAACCGAAAATTTGTAAAAAATGGTGTTTGATTAAATTGCTTATTACTGAAATTTAAATACCGTCATATTAATATATTCTACCCAGGCGATGTTCGTGGCAGAGTCATTCTGAAACTATATTATGGTTGTAGCACGAATGGATCGGCTTGACCGGGATAGGACCACGTTCTCACAAAATATCAGCGTAAAATAGCAACTTAATGCTGCTGTGTTTCGTTTGGTGAGAATTGGAAACCCTTTTGACTGGAAAGGAGGCATTCTATCTTAGTCCTCACGGGTGACAACGCATTTGCATTTCAATTCTTAAGCGATGATAAATGTAGATGTCTATGGGCCACAGCATCCACTTACCATCAGGTGTACTCTGTGCTCGTTTGCCACATTATTCTATATAAAAAAGGCGAAGCCAGGGTGAGTCCTTAATTATAAACAACTAAACTAATACACAAGATTTAGCTTACAACATTACCATCATCATCAATACTGCCCATTTCAAGTCCCTGTTGAACATAGGTCTCTTGCAAAGAATGCCACAATGCGCGATCTTAAGCCACCTTGATGGTCCTCACCAGATTTTGGGAGTATGAGGCTGCTTGCGTTCGTAGGAAATACTTAAAATCTGACTCCCTACACGTGTCCTCCGGGTTGTGCTAAGAAAGTAGCACCAATCCGGTGGTAGGGTTCAGCCGCTAGCTTTTCGGTTACCACCCACCAATGCAAAGTCGTGTCACCAAATGACGTTTTCATGTTCCGGCATGATGCTTGGGGAAGACATATGGAGAATGGGTCTGAACAGTAGCGCCACACAACAGCGTCAGTTGTTGATCTGTCGGGTTGTGAAGGAAACCGGATCCGAAGCACGGTGTTCCGCTGGCCGACCGCAGGTACTCGTAGTTGGGACCTAATTACTGAATTAGCTGCTCATGAAAGGCTGCCCACCCGCCCACTAGCGATAAATCCCAGGGTGGCTCCATCGTGCCGGTTAGCTACCGTGTAGTGTATGCTCATGTATATACATGATAGATTAAGAGACATTCAGTGAGTATTAAAATTACAGTCAAGACCACGACGTGTAATTTTCTCCGAACCTCCCAACATTACATGGCGACCCTGCCATTCGATGCGCTGCTACAATGCAAGCGCACCGCCGGGACCTGCATAGAAGATAAAGTAATTTATTGAAGAAAATAAATACTAGAGATGGGCCGAATATTTGTTTTATGTTCAGTATTCGGCATATTCGGCAGCTTTACCGAATATTCGTATTCGGCCGAATATTCGGTTAAATCACCGAACATTCGTAAGTGGTACGCAGTGTCCACTGTATTAAAAATTAAAATGTATGAATTGAGTAATGACATATCTTTTATGATTTTACTGTTGTAAGTATATTTTATTTATGGGCTAAATCTACTTAAAATGTTATGTTTTTGAGGCACTGTAGATTTATTTCCAATTATAGCAAATAGAAAACTTGATAAAATATTTTTGGAATTAAACAAAGAAACATTACATTACATAAGTACATTTCACTTTACTTTGGTCGTCAGTTTCTCTAAAATAAGTCCAAATAGTAGATCACCTGCCAATCATTTTTATCATATAATTATCAATTTTCACTAAGAATAACAGAACGAAATCCTTTTTTTCTCACTAAAATAGTAAAAATATAAACACGGACCGGCAATTTTCGCAGTATTAGATGATGCAATAAATATCAGGTGTGGTGGGGAAGCGAGAGGCAGAGTTCGGCGCTAATTGTTATGGTACCGAGGTGATCCTGCCGAATAATGTTCGGCCGAATATTCGGTACGGTAAAAGTTTTACAGAACTTTTGGCCGAATATTCGTATTCGGTGAAATCCATATTCAGCCCATCTCTAATAAATACATCAAAATAAATTTATATTGATACTAGCTGTTACCCGCGGCTTCGCCCGTATAGTCACTGGGAAATGAACTATCCACTGCTTTTTGAATTTAAAGGAAACTGAGTTTTATAGATTTGTCAGAGATGCAGCCATTAAAAGGAATCTAAGCAAAATTGATTCGTCAGCCTATTTAAATGTTTTCAAACGCAGCGTATAGGAAAGCATGAAAATAGCCTGTTTATTTCAAATGTAAATGGGATATTTTTTAAATTAAAGGAAACTGAGCATAATTATCCGTCAGGGATGCAGACTTTTGAAAAGAAACTGAGCTAAATTGATTCGTCAGAGATGCAGTCTTCTGAATTGAAAGGAAACTGAGCCAAATAAAAGATCCGTCAGAGATGCAGCCTTTTGAGTTGAAAGGAAACTGAGCTTAATAGGTCCGTCAGAGGTGCAGCATTTGGAATTGAAAAGAAACTGAGCTAAATAGGAAATTTTGAATTGAAAGGGAAGATCTGTGGGAATTCTGATTAATTTTATTGTGGGAATTTTGGAAAAAAAAACTAACTGAACACTATTTTAAGACGCTACTGTACACATTGTTATATGTTTTTCCATTCGGGGAAAGAATGTGAAGATTCTGGGCATTTGACACACGCGAACATGCTACATACAGCTGACCATGAGAGAAGCACGGTTTTTATAAGTTGACTGAATACCCAGCGGAACACCGTGCTTCGGATCCGGTTTCCTTCACAATCCGACAGAGCAACAACTGACGCTGTTGTGTGACGCTACTGTTCAGACCCATTATCCATATTGATGCACAGCTTCCTCCATGGTTTCATCCCATTGATTATCGTTTTCTAAAAGATGCAGAGCTTCACATGCTTCTCTATAAGTTGCGCATTCCTGACCGTTGACAGTTTTAAGGTCTTTATATCCTGTAGGACCCCGAACATGGTGCAGCAGCAATCGTAAACAGAAACATTCAAAATTAGTTACATGGACGGTATACACACGACCAAGGGCATCTGATGACTTTACACCGGGCCAATTTGCAACAGGCGCGCCTTGAATACGGCGTTTCCACTCCTTGTTAGATGTGTTCCAAGTATAATAGCGGGGGACTTCAGAATATAACAACGTTTTTGCAAAGGGGTCGGTTTGACTAAGTTGAAAAAAGGCTGTTAGTGTAGTTTTTGGCAGTGATGCAATTCTTTCTTGGAAATTTCTTTCGGTGAAATATACAAGCTCTCCATTTTCTAAGTGCACAGCAAGGTGAGTAACTGTTGGGTGCCTTTCGTGTAAAAGGAAGCCAAGGAGACCCCACGCTGCCTCGTTACTGCTGACATAACGCCCTGCCTGAAAGGTCTGTACTTCATTAACGGGATTTGCCTTACCTTCACTCCTGAGATTGAATATTGCTTGGTCGCTTCCTTTATTTATGTACTTACAGATATACTCGATTGCGCGGACAGAGCTACATGCTTCTACATTAATGTGGGCATTAAACGTTTTACATAGAATGGGCGAATACGGGACAATCCAGCTGTTATCTAAGGTTTCGAACGCTCCAGAGCGAGATTTGATTGTAACTTTCCTGCCACCATCTTCGGGAGCTCTGCGTCTGTATAAAGGGTAGCCATTGTTATTGTGCACTGTTTCTTGTAATAGCTGTTTAGAGAATTTCTTTGTACATTTTCCTTCTTTCATACATGGCGATATTGAATTTCGTGCTCCACATGGACCGTGAATCATATTTCGGACGATGGTATCATACAATTCTTTATCTTGCTCAGGATCCGGAATCTCGGCGCTTATTATGTCGTCTATTTGGCTGGGCCGCAACTTCTCTTTAAGCCATATTAGAATGTGGGCATGCGGTAATCCTCTTTTTTGCCATTCAATTGAATACATGAAGCACTGCACCTCTCCGAAAATTTTCCCTTTGTTAATTACATTCATTAATTTTTGTACTTTTAATCTAAATACTCTAGCAACTAAATCGTGTCTGTCAGTACTTTTTTGCCCCGGCATTAGCTCCTCGGTTATTTCTTTCCATGTGGGATTGCAAGTAAAAGTAACAAAATGATCAGGTCTTCCGTAAGTTCGTACATAGGCGAATGCGTCTTGTGTGTACTCATGTAGGTAGCGGGGACTGTTAACGAATGATGAGGGCAGAATTACCATTTTACCTAAATCTCTGGGGCTTACATTGGCGTCGCTAGAAACTGCATCTTGTAAATGTGTATAATTCTCAAGGCGCAGCTTTATTTGATTTAAAGATATATAACGAAGACGTTCACTTTCTACCTTCACATACATGTCTACCAAAAATTGATGAAATAATTGTCTACACCGGGCTAAGAGTTTAAAATCATTTTCACGCAACATACCATATGATACGCATAAAAATCCATACATGATACTTTTTTGTTCCGAGTAGGCTCCTTTGTGACCGGGTTAATGAGTGGAATTTGCAAATGATAACCCTCTTGTCCTTTGCAATAAATCAATGGGTATTGCAGAGCGTCAAAAAACTTGTGTGTATCGGCTACCCATTACAACGTACTCGCACTCTCGTACTCGCGTAACGTGCTCGCAAGACAATGTCACGTGAAGAAAATAGATGACCACTAATTATGGCTGCTATTTCGTTTATCAAAGGTGCATTGTAGCGCCTTTCATACTCACCTCGAGGGGTCCGATCTGCGTGAATGACGACTTTATAATCCTCTTCAGGTAGGTTTTCTAAAGCAGTTTTAAATGTTTTGACTAAAATGTTACGTATTACGTT